AAAAAAAAAATATATATATATTTTTTTTTTTAGGACTGTGTTAAATCATAGGACAGTGCTCTCTAGGGGGGTGGTGTTTGACTTCCATCCACTCACCTTTGGTCCTGTTGTAGCTGTCTGTGTCTCTGTGTCTGTCCGTGTCTTTGTCCATCAGTCTGTCCTGTGAAGACGACTTTCTCTGGGCTCTGTTACTGCAGCTTCCTTTCTGAAGGAAAGAGGAGCGAAATGGATGACATCTTTCTAAATATTTCGACATCTAAATTAATATCATTGGTCATTTAAAGGTGCACTGCACCTTTAAGAGAACTCTATTTTATTTTTAAGTAAGTGCCTGGTCCTGCCACTTTTTTTTTCAATTTTCAAAGCACCTCATAGATCATAAATATACAGAACGTGCTGCATACCATCCATGGCCACAAGAGGGCACTCTGCATTCTGGAAAACCAAACTAAGTTGCTGAAACGGTGAAAAATAAGAGACAGTTGAGATGTCCTTAAAAACATGTAGAGAAAAAACTTCCGAAGGGACTTCCATGAGGAAAATCAAATTAAAAAAAAAAATTATTTATATATTCTTAATCGCGCCTACTTAAAGTTCATTGTAAGTTTAACTGAAAAAAAACACCAGTGCAATTAATAAAAAAAGGACCCAATTATTGACTCTCTCTCTCTCTAAATATATATATATATATATATATATATATTAATTTCTTCGCCGAATTTAATGACAGATGTGACTAATCCGATGATGTGATGTACAGTCTAAAAATACAGTGCAATCAGCATTAGTTGTTCTGTCCAGGTGTCCTTGTGCCTCACTCACCACTGGTATGTGACAGTCAGGCGTAGAACATGCAGGATCGGTTCCTTGGCTGCGGCCACCTGCTGACGGTTCCACCTGACGGCGACTGGGACGATCCTGATGGACAGAGGAGAGTGATGTCACTGTTAGGTAAGACCACATGGTCCATCGTCAGTGTTTCCCAAACTTTTTTTTTTCCTGGGGACCCATATTTCATAAGTCACAAACTTTCGCGACCCAAGTCAATAATTATTCGTAAACTCCTGTAAAACATAATGCGAGACGACCCAAAAAAATCTCTGAGGGTCGCGACCCAGTCTTTGGGAAACATGGTCAGTAATCAATAACCAATGACAAACTGATGCTACTGGTAAGCAGTCCATTACAGCAGGGGTCCTCAACCCCCGGTCCGGGGACCAGTGCTGATCCGTAGGTCACTTGATCCTGGGTCGTAGTGGAAATTTAATTTAAATTTTTTTCCTTCAACGATGGCGCGGTAGTCCTGGTCGATAATACTGGCCAACCGGTCCTTGGTACGAAAAAAGTAGGGGTACATTTAGAATCCCCAGCAGTCCAAATAAGTGGGAGGAACATGTGACCTGAGGTATACATACTGTATATATAACTAAATATATATATAATTGTTTTTTATTACAAAACTGAAGCCATTTTTAGTCTTTGAAAGTAGGGAAAACACAGTGTTTTCATTTTAATCCTCCTCCATTTTGGAATCAAGTCGCCGACCAGTTTGGTGGTTCAGTGGGTCGTGGGCTGGTTGGTGATCACTACTTAAAGAGAAAGCATTTGTTCCGCACTTGCCCATATATTTCTTAAGTATTTTTTTTTTTGGGAAACTGCCAAATGTTACCAATACGATTTGCATCGCAGTTAATATATTTTTTCTTGCAAATTTTCTTGCCGTCGCCACTGCCTGTGTTTCCCAAATTGTTTTTCTGGGCGACCCATATTTTAAAAGTCACGAAACTTGACGACCAAAGTCAATAGACATTATTCGTAAACTCCTGGGAAACATGATGCGAGACGACCCAAAAAAAAAAATTTTTTTTTGCGAGCCACCTGAGGGTCGTGACCCAGTCTTTGGGAAACAATGCACTAAGCCATTGCACATTGAATATTATAACTGTTTTGGCCACACAGCAAAAAAAAAAAAAATTGTTAGCATTAGTGTGAATTTTTTTCAAATTCTTGCGACCCACCTGAGGGTCGCGAGCTGGTCTTTGGGAAACAGCGTTATATATGACCGCAGCATGATGAGTAGTGTTAGATTTATATTATTTAAAAAAAAGTTTAAATAGAAAATTTAGAAAAAAACTTTCCAGTAGGCTCCCCCTAGTGGAACACAGGGGTATTAAAAACACTGATTAAAGTTTGAATCGGAGAAACTAAAAAAATTTAAATTAAAAAATATTCTAAAGGTGAATGACTAAAGACCATAGAGAAGCCGCCAATGTAAACAAACAAAGTTTTTATCGTTGAAATATTAGTTTTGTTTTCTCTCTCACCTGTCGCTCATTAGGTCTGATGTTGTTTGAGTCCAGAGCCAGACCACACACCACCGAAACACACAGGAGGCTGTGCCAAATCCTCATCTTCCGA